GAATTTCTTTACTGTCCGAGCCCCCAAGGTCTGGAATAGCCTGCCATCAGAGGTGGTTCAAGCACCCACATTGAATACCTTCAAGAGCAAATTGGATGCTTATCTTGCTGGGATCCTATGACCCCAGCTGACTTCCTGCCCTTTGGGTGGGGGGCTGGATTCGATCTTCTGAGCTCCCTTCCAGCCCTAATGTCTATGAAATCTATGAAACTGAACTGGACTACTTTGCCCCTTAGGTTAGGTAAAGGAGTAGTTATTGTAATCCATCTTGTCAGAGAGGTTACGTACCCTAATTTGGTTTAAAAAAATATTCCATATTAAAAAAAATCATAGTAAACTGCTAAGTAGCAATGGATATTGAAGTTGTATTTGTTACTATGGATATGCTACTTGGCAATGGGTACCAAAGTTGTATATCTGTGCTGCTACTTAGGACCACCCTCACATTCATACTTGCCAACCATCTACCCAGAAAGCAAACAAGCTCATACCCTGGCAGCAGCCCAGTCTGACTCCAGACATTCTGCTTGCAAAAAGTTGTGCAGACCTTAAACATGCTGATAGATCAGGCTACCTATAAAAGGCAGTTGTAGTGGTGGCTTTCCTTTAGCCAGTGGTGGTGGGGATGCTCACCTTTTATACAATAGCGTAGCTCCCAGGATTATTTTTGTATTTTATATGCAACAGTCAATGGACACAATGCAAAAACAGCATTGTGCCCAGAGGATTTGTCCCTCCTAGTTCAATTCTCTAGCTACTGTGCTAAGCCATGATCCCTCTTGTGAAAAGGGTGGAAGTGCTCCCGCCTAGAAGAGTCTATATTTCTGTGGTTATGGCATCTTCTTTGGAGGTAGAAATGTGGGTTTGAAGCCATTGTGGCAAAAGAGGCAGCTGGACCTGGATCTCCCACTTCCTGCATGGGTGTTCCAATCACTACAGAATTAAATAAAAGATGGGTGGTGATTGTACCTCTGAGTGAATCCTGCTCATCCCATGAACAGAAGTGTAAGTATCTATCCTTAGGAAAAGGTTTCAGACCAGGGGTCCAAAGTGGATAGAAGCATCTAAACCCCAGAAATAGGTGTGGTTTCAGATGCAACCTCATTCTTAATGTTTCTTACCTAATTCCAGACAGCTTCCCACTGAAGGTGGTGCTGTTATGAATCGCACTGAGGTACTTGTCTTTCACCAGGTACAGTGTAGGAAGCTGGTGGCTAACTCTTCAGGCTCTGAATTCCATTCCCAGGGCCAGGTAAGTTGAAGTTAGTCCTTAAATCTTAGACATGGTTGACTACCAGATGCAGCCATGACATCAGGCAGAAGTTTTACCCCTTTACTTTAGGAATTAACTTGATGTGGCCTTTGAGATTTGAGCTGTGTCCTTTTTTTGCCCTGTGAATAGTTGGGACTTCAGGTTCCAAGACAGTTGATCCAAACACTTTTTGCAACCAGTGAATCTATTAAAAGAGAGAAATAAAAATTTACTGGGATTTCTCATGGTTGCTATGCCTTCTGAATACTGTGGTGACATTTCTGCTGGTTTTAGAGCTTGCATTTTATATTGCTGGATTAGTGATGTCCTGTGTACTTGCTGGTTCTTGGCTATGCTTGAACACTACCTTAGCATTTCTTTGTAATGGCACTAAGACAGTTATCCAAGATAATAAATAGTATAGTGCATGAT